TGAACATAAAAGCATCGCGAGGGAAATGATAATGGGGCGAGGTTGAGATTGTCATTAACAATAATACGGAAAGTGAGCCAAAACCAAGGGTGTAGTATGAAGGTAAGTTAACAAAAAAATTAAAAAAAGATGCAGAAGAAGGACAAGACAGTGAGGTTGGAGCTAGGGTGAATTTTAACCTGTCAGGAAACTAAGGTGTGTAATTAGTCAAAAGCGAGGCCGGTATAAAGAGGACAAGTGGAATTTACAGCAAGTTGCATACCATTAAAAGGCACGACCGAAGAGCATATGATCGAGAATCATGGGGTCAATAACGCAAATTGGCATCTGTATTCGAAGTCGGTCCGCTTATGAAAGCACTTGTGGCAGCCTGGATGACTGCTGGGTTAGATGACATTCCTGAAACGAATTCCTGCCTTGCCTTGTCCAAACTAGCGCCAGTTGCACGATAAATACGATGAATCTTAAAAAATAATGTACCTTGAATTACAATATCATGCGTGATTTTTATCTACTTTCAATTTAATGGTACAATGATGTGTATACACAACTTAATCAGACACATTTCGAATAATAATTAAACGACATCAAAAGAATAACTAGGTTACTACAAGCAAAAGGAAAAGTTGCATTATAACTTTTAATTTTGCGTATAAGAAAACTTTAGTTCAAAATTTACAGTTACAAATTCTTTAGGGTGCGAACCATGAACTTACGTGTACCAAGAAGAAGCCAGAGACGACGGCAATCGAGGTAAAGAGAGCAGCTATAGCAAGAACTATGGCGCCGACCCAACCAACCTCTCGCACGGCAGCTAAACCAACAATCCATCCACTTTAATTAAAAATATTACTGAAGATTAGATAAAATTTAATAGAGGTACGGTAAGAAGCAAAACTTAGTTACCATGCCCCGAGACTGGTGATTCCAAGTGATTGAATTACCATAACGATAACTTGAGCGAAGAAGACGAAGAAAAATACGAAGAAATTAAACGAGCTATCGCTTCTAAAAAACAGCATTATTCACGATGACAATGAGCAGGTACCGGAAAGCTTTATACAGGGGCCTAAACCAGCAAACGTAGGAGAGGGGCGCAAAAAGAATCGCAGTAAGAAGAGCAACACCGAAAACGCTTCCGCCGTCAGGTTTTTGCGTTCCAGCAAAGTAGAATATGGAGCCAAAAACATTAATCAGCAAGAGTCCAGCGTAGCACATCCAGAGGAAATAGCCCATCCTTACAACCTTCTGATATTCTTCAGAAATTTCTATTTCAATGTTCTGATAGAAACACGGGCGACATGGAAGAAAGGAAGGTAAGGGTGGCCAATTCTTCTTGGCTCCTAAACAAGAGGTTCAGAAATTAATTGGGAATGAAGACATCAGGTATTTAGGATATTAATCACCATTATAATCTCCAGCACGAGCACGCTCATCAAGGCGTCGTTGTTCCTCTTCTCTTCTTTGTAGTTCTGCAGCTCTAGCATCTAACTCCCTTTGTCTCTTTTCAAGTTCTTCGTTAGTAATTTTTCGAATATCCTGAGATGCAGGGCTTCCTGTATCGTTAAGTGGAGTCATATTGGGCTCAGAACTTGATAGGGTAGATGTGACCTTATTTTCGAAAGGATTATAATTATCTAGTCCTTCAGATTTTACAGTAACGGCCGTAAACGAGGCGGCTGGTGTAAATCCTGCGGAATACGGAGGGGGCTCCTCAAATTAAATCGAACATAAAATTACCCCATAAGAGACTGAGGCAGGATCCGCAAACGGATTACTTAATTGTGTATATCCGGACATAATAAAGAAAGGGTGGGAAAAATTATAGGAAGACCAAGGATCTTAGCGCCCGCGCCCTTACCAAATTACAATAGAATCATTCGTTATCACTATTATTAAAATTATTAATTATTTTAACTTTGGATACTCATCATATCTCATTATCTAAATTATTCTGAAGTGATGACTTTGTATTAGTAAAGTTATCAATAAAATCAATAACTATTTGACGTGCAACATTACTACTAAGGCGACTTTCACTGGTTTTGAGACCTTTTTGTCAGCAG